GCAGGTGTCTTTCTTATAGAGTATCATTTGCTCTTTTGGGTAGATGCCCACTAATGGGATTGCTGGATCAAATGGTACTTCTACTTGTATCTCTTTAAGGTATCTCTATATTGCTTTCCACAGTACAAGTTAGTTTTTATGCATAAAATTAATAGCATCCACAGGCAGCATTGAGAAGTTTAACTCCTGCAGTAATAAATGTACATTTAAACTTCATGTCGCTGATGGAGATTTAGCACATAAAGTCCCAAAGGAGTTTTTTTCTCCAAGTTTCAAATCCAAAACTTTCTGGTACTTGAAAAGGAATCTTATGATGGTAATAATAATTCTGCATGACATGCATTGTTCATATTGCTGGTACTGTTACTATGATTATATACAATAGTAATCTATGTAAGCAAATGATCACTGATTAAGCAAAAGATCTGGAATGTCAGAAGTAGGCATATGGCTATTTAGACTTCCATAAGCAGAAAATGAAATCCAAGCCAAATAGATGATTTTGCCTGAAAACTGAGGCCAGAGATTATCTTCAGCACATTCCTAACTCAGCCTAAAGGACATTATTATATTTTATTTCAAAATATTTCATTTTCTTTACTACTCAACAGTTTTCTGATTCCAAGCTCATCTAGTTCTACGAGCTTATCTGTTCAAAAGAGTGCCATCTGGAATCTAGCATTCCGTGTTTGGTCTTTTGGATTGATAATAAAAATTTTAAATAACTTACAAATTCAAAAATATGTAAAAATTTGGAGTGAAATAAAATTATCATCACATATATGTTAGTCCATATAGTCATAGAAAACCTGTGCATATATTGTATATTGGGATACACAACCTTTTTTTATCTGATGTCAAAAACGTATCAAAGTTTAAAGTGCATATATAGTTTCCTATTTCCTAACCAGAGATAATGATATTAGGTGATGAAAATGTGTCACTAAATTTAATTATTAGTTGATATAGAAACTATACTATCTACATAGTAAATCGATTTATAATCAGTATATTATTTGAAATTGAACTATAAATCCATCCTTTTTTGACTTCTGTGTACACCTACTGTCACTCTATATGCAAACTATATGCATACTTTGAGATGGTAACAATTGTCTATTTTACATTAAAATCCAATATTAGTAATATTAATGACTTTAAATACTTAATATTTTAAATAATTTTGTTAAGATGATAAAATACATTATATAACCTTAGGAAAAAAGTTTGTAAATGTGCTACTTTATAAAAATTATTATAATTTTGTTACTTCTGATTTTTTTTTTTTGGAGATGGAGGTCTCACTATGTTATTTCTGAGTGACATACCTTTTTTAAACATATTTTAAGGAGTTGTAGCTTTAAAAGTAACCTGAAGAACTTGTGTTAAATTAGGGGATTAAATAAAATGTGGCTTTTTTTTTTGAGACAGGGTCTTGCACTGTTGCCCAGGCTAGCATGCAGTGGTGCAATCACAGTTCACTGCAACCTCCAACGTCTAGGCTCAAGCGATCCTCCTGCCTTAGCCTTCTGAGTAGCTGGGACTGTCAGCATGTGCTACCATGTCTGGCTAATTTATTTATTTATTTATTTTTTTGTAGAGATGGGATTTTGCTATGTTGCCCAGGCTGGTCTTGAACTCTTGGCCTCAAGCAATCCTCCTGCCTCAGTTCTCCTAAAGTGCTAGGATTATAGGCATGACCCACTACACCCAGCCTAAATATGGCATATTTTTAAAGACATAATAAAAACATCTTCTGTCATTACACATTAATCCCACTTAGTTTTCATATGACTATTTTTCATGGCCAACGAATCAATAACCAAAAACCTGGTGCAAAGTGAACTAAAAACTGATAATAAAAATTTTCAAAATACTTTTACCTGAAATAACCAGTACTAAGGCAAAAATGATTCAGGGTTCACATTACCCAGTGAATGTTTCTTAACTCTTTCCCACTCTAATTTTGGGATTCCAGCATAGTATGATAACATCATGTTCCTTTACTATAACTGGTGTGTCTGACACACTCTGTCTGTGTTTGACTGATGGGTCTCCACAATGAAACTTTTCACATTTAATCATCTAAATGGCGAAAAATATGATGATGACTCCAGTTTGTGTGGCTTACATGGCACCAAAAAGAACTTTGATCAGTGAGCCAACTACATTTTTGGCCCTATATTTACTCAAATAGATTTTTTCACCTTTATTAATGGAAACGGGTTTCAGCGATTTCATCTTTTTTTGCTTAAAATATAGATTTTCTGCTTAAACCCAGATGTTTTCAGATTTACTTTCTTTTCCTATATGTTCTCCATCCTGTGCATTTCATCTCTCATATATCTTATGGAGGGTAAAAATAGAAGAGGGAAATCATAATTCTATCAAAAGAAAGCTCAGCATGAAGACTATTAGAATGGTTATATCATAATAAATCTTATTGTTCAGAGAGATATTTTTTGCTTGTTTTAGAAGAATGTACTTTAACAAATATATTTTAAATAAGTTACATTGTTTTTATATGAACACATATTAAACCTTCTTGAAATGTTTGAAGAGTTTTACTAAAATAAGGTTGTAGTAGATCATGCTTTTATATTAAGCAGATTCTCATATAAGTAGATCTAAATACAGATTTAATTTTACTGAAAACATTAATAAGATACTTATTGCTTCTGTTTTCGCATAGTTTCTATCAAAGAAATCCATGTTATAGTGACTTAATTTATAAACTCTTATCTTTTTTAACTTTTATATCTTCATTTGTCCTCAAATTGTATTTATTTTTCTGGAGAACAATAATTTGTGAACAGAACATTCATTGCTATGATAATACCATGCTTTATTCCAATTCTCTTTAGAATAACTCAGAAAAGTGGGTTTACTGCCTTTTCTTTTTCTGTTTAAATTTTATCTTTTTGATTTCCTAGGAGTGCTTCAACCATGTGCATTATAACATTTGAAGTCAAGTGAAAAAGAAAATCTGGGAAACATAAGCCAAGGAGACATTAATTTGATAAATAGAAAGAGAAAACATTATCATAATATTCTTGAATTTCTTCAGTTTGTCCTATAGAGTCAGCAAAATGTACAGCAAATACTACTACGATGTGATGTGACAAATATAATTCACTTGAATTGAAGTTAATTTGAATTAATGTTTGTTCCAACAAAATCCAAAAGCAAATTAGAATATTGTATTATGAAGTTTAATGATATATGACTTTTACCTGAATTGAGAATTTCAGCACAGAGGGTCATTTGTTTATCATTATTTTTCTTTCTTTTTTTTTTTACTTAGAACTCTTGCCATTTCCCAAAAGTTTCGAATAATGAATATATGCAATTGTATTATCAGAGTACATCCTAAGTTTTCTTATAGAAAACAAAATAAGAATACTGTTGGCAGCTTTTTAAAACTATAATTTACAGTACATAAACAGGCAAAATTATTTTAGAGGAAATAGAATCAATATGGTCCCATGACATAGGATGGGGTTCCACGAAGCGTAACTTGGAATGTGCTCTGTAGAAATACAGAAAGCCTCTCTTTTATATGTGGAGATTTCAGCTTGAAGATTAGGAACTTTTATCTTTTTCTTAATCAGTTGTCCCAAAACTCCTATCAGCTCACTTATGTTAAATGGAGTGCTGTCAGCCTTCCCAGTAATCCAATTCCTTGCAGATCCTCCTGTATATTCAATAGTGCTTGAATTGTGTTGCCCTTATAAATTATTTTCTGCCCATAAGACTAATAAATACGCATTTAATATCCAACAAAATTCTTGAAAGCAGTTTTACTACACACTTGAAAGCAGTATATAGTAAAATTTCTGAGCCTCAAGAAAATGGGTCATGCAACCATGTTAACAATCATGTTTTAATAATAAACTTGGAGGTCATAAAAACAAAATTTCTCAAGGTATAAGGTAGACAGGTCATGAAATGGTAGAAAGTGTAAGATTTGAAATGAAGTGTGCACATCATTTTGTATGTACCTTGAGGCAGCGATTGGACAGGAAGTGCCGCCTGGCCAGGTGGAATGGAGATGAGTCCCTGACGCTGAAGGCTAAGCAGATGCTGCTGCTGCTGGAGTTGTTGCATCTGGAGAAGCTGCTGCTGGAAGACAAGCTGCTGGGCTGCCAACTGCTGCTGCTGCTGCTGCTGCTGCTGGTGTCAGAAAACCCAACCCAGTAAACAGCAGAGAACATGTCTGCACAAACAGCTCTCATTCAGAGAAATGCATACTCCTTTCATTGCCTGGCTGACTTTTTGGTCATCCCACGGTCAAAGTTCAGGGGAAGAATGGGAACAAGTTCTAGATTTTCAGTTGCTTGTCTTTCAAATATTAAACAGCAGCAGAACACCAAGGAACTTGCATTAAAAGAGTATGGACCAAGGTCTAGAAACAGTATGTAACAAAAATTCTGTTTTTTTTAATATCGGCTTATTGCAGATGATAATAAATTTATCTGGATCTAAAGAACAGCACTTTATAGAAACAGTCAACTGCCACAATACTCTTTTTTTTTTCCCCAACTGAATAAGTTTGATCTACAGAGGCCCACAAATGTGGTCTCTAGTGATCTATTAGTAAACTGGGATGTACCCTTCATAGCACAGGCCTGTCAGCTCTCTGTCTTCCTTTCCTCTCGTTGGAATCTATTAAAGGCGGAATTATGTTCAAGGCACAAAAGTACCCTTATTATAAGGAAAAGTATAACTTCCAATTTTGTGAGGCATTACAAGACAAACCAGAGTTCTTTGGACTCGGGAGGGTATGAGATGGCAGTCACACTTCAGAGAAAGACAAGCTACTGTGGAAGACCTTTCCTTTTTAGTTTGGGGAAAAGAGAAACTTCTGATGCGCTCACTGGAAAACAGACTGCATAATGGAGCAAGTCATGTGGATTGCCCAAAGCCTCGGGAGAAATAAGGGAGCAATTTCTATTCTGTAGTTGATGGCTGTCTGAAATTCTATTCACAAATCCAAACAGAAACAAAGCCTCAGGAGGTCAAAACTGTTTCCTGTACGTTTGCATAATGGGCAGCTTGAAGACAACGGCTCTGATACCTGCTGATCAATTTAACTACTTCAACATGTTTTGTTTGTATTATGTTTATATTTGATGCAGTTTGCTGACAAGTGCAAGCTAGGCCTGAGAAGCTAGCTTGTCAGGTTGATTTATGAGCATATCAAACTGTAACTTTCTACTACTCGCCACTCCAAACCTACAGTAGCAGTTCATTAATCAGGGGCCTGTGACTTTGAAATCTGTGCTCAACCAGTTTGTCCCCTAGTTTCCCCACTCCCCACAATAGGCTAAATTTGCCTGCATGTTCTCTGAGCTGCACCACTGAGAAAAATAAAGTCCCCTCACCAACTTAGATTCTCAGCGAACACAAGATAATCAGTACTTTGTCCACCACACAGCTTGCTCTTTGTACACTGTGATTCATTAGTGAACATTAGACGACAGCAGCATTGGATTGTAACTCTCAGGTCCCATGCTACAAAAAAGGACAGCCTGAGAGTTCTACTGTCACTGGCATTAAGCTCAGTAAAAATATATAATACTGCATCTTTGACAGCAAGAGCCTTGTTATAGGAACATCTAAGACTATTCTTGCCTCTCAAAGCCCCTTCTCAACCTCAAACTGTATATATCAATGAGATAACCAGATCCTACCTCTTTTACTTGCTTCCCAGGATGCTGCTGCTGCTGCTGCTGCTGTTGCTGCTGCTGCTGTTGCTGCTGCTGCTGCTGCTGCTGTTGCTGCTGCTGCTGTTGCTGCTGCTGTTGTTGCTGCTGCTGCTGTTGCTGCTGCTGCAAAAGCTGAAGATGTAACTGCTCTTGCTGTTTCTTGTAAAACTCTTGTAGTTGTTGCTGAATAAACCATTTTGACTTTAATAAATAAAGGCAAAAGTTTCATGTATTATAAATCTCCTAAACTCTTCTAGACTGGCATATGGTAGAGTATCCATTAAGATTCACCTCATAAAAACAACAAAAAATTTATGCATTGGATTCAAAAAGACAGCTCTACATACATTTTTTTCCAAGGCAGCTCTGAAATTTTCCAATCCAGAATCCAAAATTTCCTAAACAAAAGGGTATAGAAAATCTGTATTCTAAAGGGCCAGAGCCAAATCAATACCCTAAATTATTATATCTGAAATCCTACTGGCATATAAAAATAGTTTATACTCTACCACCTGAAAGAATCACAATTTAACTACATAAAATCGGGTTGTTCAATTCTCACTGGAAAAAGTTTAATCCAAGAGATGTTCAGAACAATGTCAGATATACAAGTGGCTGGCCTCTAGTCATCATCATAGAAAACAGCAAAGTAATTATATATGCAAAAATTCAGGTAAAGCACATTTTTTTTCTATATGATAAGTAAGCATATAATATAAAGTTTACTTTAGATACACATGAGGCTCCAATAAGGTACATATGAGGAACACTATCTTTGGTATTTAAAAAAGATAAATTTCATAAATTAGTGTCTTAGCTGCCTAATTTTATTGTAAAGTAAATTCTGTTCTTTCTAAATGATAAGTATATTTGGAAAAGGAAAATTTGAGATGCTATTTTCTCTATTAACAAAGTGGTCAGTTCAAACTTCAAACTTATATTGGACTAAAAGGAGTGCTAAAGTGTTAGGAGTTTTAAAAGAAACAATTACCTAAGTATTTTTGCATTATTGTTTGCAAGTGTACAAATCCAATGTACCTAAACATTTGAATCTTTAAATATTGATTTATTCTTTTCAAATTATACCTTTCTCTGCTCTTATTCTAGACTTTAATGAATTAAAAAAAAAAACACTAAGGAATCTAAATTTTCTTATAAGTTCTGCAATGAAAAGGTTACATTTATGTTCTAGCTTGGTGATAGATTGTCCCTTCAAAGGGAGACTGAATTTTCAAATATGCCCATTATACTGTCAATATTAGTGTGCACCCTCTGAGTCATGTGAGAACACCAAAGAAGGTAACCCACATTACCTGCTGCAGCATGACTGCCTGCTGCTGCTGGAGAAGGGCTTGGAGCTGCTGAGGAGACAGGACTTGTTGCTGAAGGATCTGTTGCATTTGCTGAGGGGTGATCACCTGGGGAGTCATCATGGCCACTGACACAGGCACCTTGCAGTAAAGAGGGAAAGAGAGAGAAAGAATGGTCATAACCAAGTGTCTGTTAACTGACTTCACAACTGTATGTCATCTTTTATAAATGCTTCAGCATCGATGATCAATAATTTTATATAACGTGTCTACGTTATATAAGTAATGGTAATATTAAAGTAGCACAAAATTTAAACACTAGCTTTCAGAGGCATCAAATTTCATCAAACTCCAACTTTATGTCCCACACCTCCTATGTATTATACTAAGACCTTTGATCTTTAGCTCATATAGTTAAAAATAAACAATTACATGGCAGTGTTCTCAATAGTTCATAATTAAAAATCTCATCCATATCATAGTGCTATAAGTAAAAATCCTTTTAAAATGACTTGAAAGAGTGATTAAATAATAAAGATAAAACAATTGGAAATAATATGCATATAAATGTTATCTAAACTAGTAAAAAGCATATATATAG